AGAAACAAACATTATAAATGAGTACTATAAACCACAGAATCTCAATCAAGAAAAAAAAACTTTAAAGCAAGAGATTTTTCACCCATGGGAAAAGGTGTGCATATAATAAAAGTTAGAGTATTGTTATCATGACCATGTCGAATAAAAAACATGGAAATGACACCACTGCTGCTTGATGTCTGAAAATAGATAACCATCTATTGCTTCCACAAATTTACACAAAATATGAATCACCACGGGTCCAAATATGGAGATTTAAATTTAACATGGCTTTTGCCTTTCTCCTTTGCTTCCAGGATGATCCCTTGTTCATATACTTATATAAATATTCAAAAAAAACAGTACTCGTCTTGTGGAAGTGGAAGATATAATTCTGCCTCAAATTAATTGAACCAGTGTTGAGAAATTGGAAATATTGCTTCTTTCATGCCTCCTTGCAGCCATCTGCTTCTCCCCACTCTGAGGCGGGTGAAAGTCCTATTTCTTTAATGCTGAAAGGGATGCACCAGTGGCACTAAAGGCTTTCTTTAAGTAGCTCAGTGGCTTTTCCACTTTAGAGTCTAAATCATGCAGACTTTAATGAGTGGGCAGCAAATCTAAATAAAATAATGGCAAAATTTCTGAGAAGGCAAAAAGTCTATTCTGCACATCTAAAAATAGAATGCCAAGGTTCTAAGATGTTTCATTCCGAAAACTTCTTGGCAGGTGCAGTGGTCAGGTTCTTAAAATTAAGCCTGTTGGTGAATTACTATTTGCCTTTCTTGGCTCTTCATCTCAACAGCAAAAAGGCATTAAAAGATGAGAGCATCATAGCTGCTATACATTGTATTATCTATATTATTTCACATTTGTATGCACTGAATGAAAGCTCTGATTCAAGATATCACCTGTTCAGTCCCACAAGGGCAATTTTCCCTCTCCTCCCATAGGAAGAAGACAACTGCTACCAGAACAGATTTAGGTCTGAGATTTAGAGAACACATTTAAACCAAGAGGATGCTAAGATCAGAAGATAAAATTAGAAAGACAGAGTCTCTACACATTTGAATCTTAAAATTTAAACATTTTATTAGGCTGGAGTAATAGTACAGCAATATTACAGTTGCCTTGCATGCAGCCTAGCTGGGTTTCAATCCCCAGCACCCAATATGGTCTGCAGAGTTCTCCAGAAATGATCACTGAGTTCAGAGTCAAGAGTAATTCCTGAGTTATGGCCCAAAACCAAAATGAAAAAACAAAAAAAGTAAAACAGACATTTTTTATTGTAGAAAGATTAAAATTAAGTATTTAAGTTCTACAATATTTTTTTAAGTTCTTCAATATTATTAATTACTGATTAATAGAATATTCAGAATGGGGACAAATTCACATCAAAATAGGTTCCAGATAAATGAGTGTGCTAAATAAAAGCACTGTAGCACTGTCCTTCCGCTGTTCATAGATTTGCTTGAATGGGCACCAGTAATGACTCCATTGTGAGACTTGCTGTTACTGTTTTTGGCATATCGAATACATCACGGGTAGCTTGTCAGGCTTTGTCATGCGGGCGGAATTCTCTCCATAACTTGTCGGGCTCTTGAAGGTGGGCAGAGGAATCGAATCACGGTCGGCCGCATGCAAAGCAAACGCCTTACCCGCTATGTCATCACTCCGGCTCCCTCTAAATAAAAATAATGAGAATATTTTAATGTTTTAAAATAGCGTACAAGTAATAAATCCTGGATAAGAGTGAGTCTTTTAAATTTAGAAGCAATGTTAAAAAAAATCCATAGCTTCCTGAATCTGTGACACACATTACTTATGTTAATATTAACCACACATCAGACAACATTTTCTTACAGAGTGTCAGGGGCCAATATTTACAAAACACTTCAGCTTCCTTTTCTTTCCACAGTACATCTGGGAGATTATCTTCTTTATCTTAAACCACTAATTCACCCTTTCAAAAATTTTACTGAAAAAAAAAAACCTGCCCATATTTAAGTTGTTTTCCTGTGCTCATATGGACATGTGTATACGTTAGAGAGGTCAATTTAATATCAAATCTGCTCTTACATTTTGAAGCACACATTGCCATATTACTAGGTATGGACACTATGTTGTACAGCAGATCTTTAGATCTTAATCACTGAATCTCAGTGAAATTTTATACCTGATAAAAATTTTATTTTTATTTTATTTTTTATTCTCCCCACCAACCTCTAACAATCATTATTCTGAGTTTAATAACCTACATACTTCATGTACATAGAGTCACATCGTGTTTAGCCTCCTGTGATTAAATGATTTTATTTAGCTGAGGTAGTCCTTATATAATCATTGCATTAACTTAATTTTGTATTTCTTAGTAATTCATTTTATGACCTTCTCTATGCTAGGGTTTTATAATTGACCAAAATAATGAAGGCATAGATGTGTTTGTACTGTGAATGGACTATCAGTTACTCCCATCCACTACTCACCATCGTGTTCAAGATCAGCCAAGCAAAGAACAAGTTGGATGCAAAAGGTCTCCCCAGGTGGATGACTTCTCAACGTCTTCTATAGAATGACTATAATATCTATAATCTGAGATTCAGAGTTGCTACTTTGGGCCTAGTGAGAATTCAAAATACAAGCTCTGCTGGGGATGATGTTGGACTGAAAAAATGAAGGCATTATACTTTATTAGGCAAACTTAACTTTAGGATAGTGACTATGGACTGTTTATAAGAGGAAAAAAACCAAAAAAGTTTGCAACAGATTGCAGTGCAATGTCTTTATGGATGTTTTCAGAGTTTACAACCAGATCATTAAAGCTGAGTGAGGTTGATTTATCTAACCCTGCGTAGGCAATATAGTTCTTACACAAAATTGTTTTCCTCGTTTTTTTTTCTTTTTCTTTTTGGGTCAACTCAGGGATATTCAGGACTTACCACCCTGGCTCTTTGCTCAGGGATAACTGCTGGAAGGGTTCCAGACAACGTATAATTTGCCAGGGATTGACCCCAACTGTACTATCTCTACAGCCCCAGATTATGTTTTTTTCCCCAAATTATGTTTTAATATTTTTAGGTATTGCTCAAATTAGCTAGGGTAGAGGCTGTATAAGGCCTAAATACTTTATATGCAATTACTTAATAATTACTCTCAAAAAGTGCCAGGATGTGAAATATTCCTTAAGACTAATAATGGGAATCATAAAGTGGTGATAATGGGATTGCAATTATATGGAAAAAGGACAATAAACAGATGAGATGTGGATATCACCCACAAACCTGGATCTTCAGCTATTAAGCATTCCATACAAATAATAACAGGTATGTGGGAGTATCTAAGCTTAGTAAAGCTGATATGAAACCAACATCTCAAACTGGAAAACTCTTTAAAAAGAAAAAGGACAGTTCATTCTATTTTATGAAGATAATAGAACAGTTAAAAAGTCTCCAAGAAAAGCTCTGAACATGGAAGATTATTTCTCTGAAGAAAAAAATAAGAGAGTTTAACAAGCAAATAGGATATAATTGAGAAATAGTTCAAAGTGGCAGTAGAGTTCATATGTTTTATTGAAAATTTAGTAAATGCATTCTATCAAAAGTGGACTTGACCTCAAAAACCACTATAAAAGCTGCTTTATGCTCTCCGGATAGTTTTGTCTTTCCCTCTCTTCTAATTTCCCTTTCTTTTGTTACCGTTAGAAAAAAAAAGTGAGGGGAGGAAGGAAGAAAGAAGGGAAAAAACTCCAAACATCAAGTATTCTAGCATTTATGAAACAACCTGACAGGTTTATAACATCTCAATGAAACCAACAGCAAAAATCATAAAACGAAGTCTCAGTCTGATCCCGACAACATGGGCCGTTTTGTTGAAAATGACTAATGTGAAATCCATCAGCTTATGGAAACTAGGGAGGGCTTCCAGAAGCTGGTCAGCGCTCCTGGAGATAAATGTTTCTGAGCAATTCTCTTAAACAACTGAGACTCTGCCAAAGGTGAAAAACACTGCAAGCGCATCCAAAAACTCACTGCAAAGAGGACCACGAACCAGTGACCACTCTCCCTCACCAGGGAGGTGATGTTGGTCGGAGTAATCATCTCCACACAGACCTTAAAACATCTTCTGAATCCCTTCCATCCCCTCACAAGTCACTGTAAACCCTTCTTTCTAGGTGCATGCCTCCCTCCTTCCCTTCTTCCCTGCTTTGCTTATCCCTCTCCCTCCCTCTCCCCCCGGGTTTTTCCTTATTCCAAAAGCCACTACTTTAATTAGCGCGCGCGCACACACACACACACACACACACACACACACGAGACTACATCACAACACCGCCAGATCTCCACCAGGAATCCCTAGCAGGCAGCCACAGGCGAACCCTGAACATTCATAAACCTATCCAGCACTTGCCCATCTTTGCCAATTTCCAGCCCCAGAGGTGCGAGGGGGACGCAGAGCACACACGGACGGTGTCACCCAGCTCTTTGCAAACCTCCAGCTCGCCGGGTCCCGCCCCACGCCCTTGACTCCCTCCAAAAAGCCAACAAAGTACAGTGAACCGCGCCCAGCCTTTGGAGTTGGCAAAGCCGAGCCCGGGAGTTGACGCTTGCCTTCCTTCTTCCCCTGCGCCCCAACGGCTGCCCGGGCAGCGCGGCGGCACTGACGGACGGGGGCGCTGTTCGCTCGTAACAGCGTCCCCGCCGCCGCGGCCGCCGCACCTCCCACGGCACTAACTGTACCAGCCCCGCCAAGTTGTGCAAAACCCCCAGCGGAGCGAGAGCCGGCTACGAGGAGCACCGCGCGGGCGAGGAGCGGACGGCGCGCTCGGGCTGCAGCGTGCGTCGGAAGAGCCGCGGGGAGAACTCCCCGGCCCAAGCGAGCGAGCGGGCGGGCGGGCGAGCGAGTTGGAGCGAGGGAGCCGGCGCTCGGGCCTCGGCCAGCCTGGCGCTCGCGCGGCGGCACCTGTTTCCTCCCGCGCCACCGGCGTCTGCAACCCCCCGCTCCCCGCTCCACGACCAGCACCCGGCTCGCACGATGAATCTGGCGCTGGGCAACCAGACCGAGGTGGCCGGCCTGTTGCTGGCCAACAGCAGCGAGGCGCTGGAGCGCGCCGTGCGCTGCTGCACCCAGGCGTCCGTGGTGACCGACGACGGCTTCGCCGAGGGCGGCCCGGACGAGCGCAGCCTGTACATCATGCGCGTGGTGCAGATCGCCGTCATGTGCGTGCTCTCGCTCACCGTGGTCTTCGGCATCTTCTTCCTCGGCTGCAACCTCCTCATCAAGTCCGAGGGCATGATCAACTTCCTGGTGAAGGACCGGAGACCGTCGAAGGAGGTGGAAGCGGTGGTCGTGGGGCCCTACTGACCCGGCCCTCGGGGGGCCGCTACTGCCGCCGCCTCTGCCTCACTCCTCCCTTCCCCCAACTTCGCCGCCGTACCCCTTCCTTGACCCTCCGACCCTGGACGCAGCAGACCTGTCGTCGTCGTCGTCGTTGATGGTTTTCTGTTTGTTTTTCTCTCGAGTTGCACCCGTCGAGAGGAAGCGCCCCGTTTCTCCGAAACCCTCCCGTGACCGACTGTTGGGAGGAGGACGTCCCGACCCCGGACTGGGCAGCAAGTGGCACGGAGCGGCAGTTAGGGCGCAGAACTAGGGGAGCCGCCGCTGGCTGGGGAGACCGACGGGGCGAAAGGCTTTCTGCACCCGCAGGTGGGCCGCACACGGAGGTCAGCTGGTAGGGGTGGGCAGGGGACAGACCCAGAGGCACTAAGGGCTTCTCGCGGGCCGGAAAAGTCACCTGCTCCACGCAACAAATCCGATGGAGACCCTTTGAAATCCGAGTCGGGAATCACACCTGCTCCAGGCTCCTCTGAGACCTAGCTGGAGGGGCCATAGATGTCTTCAATTGTCTTGTTACGGGGTGTGTGTGTGTGTGTGTGTGTGTGTGTGTGTGTGTGTGTGTGTGCGTGCGCGCGCGCTTGAATACAAACATTTGATAAGCCTTTGGGGGGTTTTCTTTTCTTCTTCTTTATCTGCCCTAGTGGCCTGTTTGCCTGCCTGGGGGTTTAGGAGTTTTGTCTTTGTGGTGAGGTGGGGAGTGGGGTGGGAGTGGGGATGGGGTCTCCATCAGCCTGTGAATGTGAAGGGGGGGGGGTGAGTGTTTTCTTTTCAAAGCATTTCCAGCTGGGATATCTTTGGAGGGGTGGGTGCACCACCCTGGCCCCAGGGCAAAGACCTGGGCTACATACAGCTTACTAGTTCACAGACTGACTGCACGGTTTACTACAAAAGTGCTCTTGACTTTTGTGACGCCATTTCTTTTCTTTCTTATTTGACGTTTCCTTAATAAATGCGATGTTGAAGTGTTTCCTTGCTGGCCTCGTGGTGGTCATTCTGTGCTCTGGGTAGAAGGGAAACCCAGGTTACCTGCTGGGGAGTTTGCTCCTGGATCTCCTGATGCCCAGGGAACTAGTGAGGCTAAGAGGGTGCTGGGGCACAGGAGAGGTATCCGGGAGGCAAAGGCCTTTGTTTTCTCTTGAAGTTCCTGTTTTAAGTTTCTTTTGGGCTTGGTTCTTTAAGCCTGGGGAGACCAGGAGAGCTCCCCTGTGGGAAGATGACACTTTCGCTTAGTGCCGGGTGGGAGTGCAGGACCGCTTAACTGATGTAAAGAAGACCCGACTCACACAGCCCTCAGGGATGGCGTCAGCTCCCTGACCGGCGTCAGCAACGCAGGAGGGAGCTGGAATGCTGCTCCCAGAAGAAGAAAGAGGAAGAGAGAAAAGCACAGGAAAATTGCTGCTGGCTGCTAATACACAGTGCTGCTAATTCTCCCAGGGGCAAACCATTGTTACTAAAATCACGAGTTGCATGGTCTTTGCCGTATTACATTTTCTAGCCAAGGAAATGGCATGAGATTAATGGACCATCCCGCTTTTAATTTAGAGAGATCAGTCCCCTGTCCAGAAAAGGGGTTTTCAGGAATTAGATGAAGTCCTGAAGATCAGAGATAGGTATGAAGAACAAACAAGGAAGGGTTGGGCAAGAGTGGAGTTACAGATGGTTGCTGGCACCCATTGGGCCTAGAAATGGAAAGAAGAGCCTAGAAAGCAGCGAGTGAGAAAATAAAAGAGAAAATTATTCTCAACCTTATATATGTTGAAATTTGGAGCACTTTCTTTTAATGACTGGGATAGCCCTAAAACATTCAAGCATCTCAGGGTTGCTGTCCTAAAGCATTTAAAGATTTCACTGTAGCAGCTCTAATAAGGCTGGCTAAAATTAAATAATATTACATGGCTTGTTTACTCTGAAACACCCACAGTCTTTCTGTCAGGGATTCAGAGTTCTACTCTGAAGGTAGGGGGGCCCTTGAACATTATGTCCACTACAAAAAGATTGGTTTCACCCCCAAGGAAAATCTTGTCACATTTATAACCTCAAATGATGGGGGGGTGGGGGGAAGAAATAGAAACTGATTAGAAATTGATAATAGTCTTCAGGGATAAAGGGGAAAGATTTTGAAATTTTACCTGTTGCTCCTGTCTAGCAGATGAGGAATTGCTTGGCTTCTGTGTTAAGGGCTTATTTCTTTATTATTTATTTTGCTGCTATTTGCTTATTTGTGATTTTTGTATCTGGGAAGGGGAACAGGGTCAACATATAGTCAAGGATAAGTCGGGCACACAGTTCAATTTTGCTAAATGGGTTGGACAGACACTAGAGGTTTCCTAATTTGGGCAATTTCTTTAGGACCAAATAAATATCCTGCTTTCACATTTCAAAGGGAAAAACAAAGCAGAATAACACGTGCAGCCAGGTTTATACTTTAAAAATTAAACTAAAAACTAAGCAAAAATCACTTTAAAAATTAAACTAAAAGCTGATTTATTTTATTTTTTGTGACTTCAACAAGTGCTGAGAGCCCATCTTCCTGCAAATCCATTAGCCCATCAGTGAATTCAGTGCTTTGGTAAAATTGATTTAGGATCAAAATCCAATCAGCTAGAGTTTATAGAAATCACACTGCCTGCTCTGCTGTGTACCAGGTACATGCTCAGAGTGAGTTTCAGACACAAAAAAGGTTTTAAACCTACAGGTCAATTTTCACTTGGCACCAGGAATTTTTTTCATTTAAAGACCAAATCCTAAAAACTGAGTGAGTGACCCATCCATTCTCCTGACTGCTCTCTGCACTGCTCTATTACCTCTCTGCTCTCACTGTTCTCATTTCTGTCCCTTTTCTTCCTCTGTTTTCTTCACATCATTTTTCCTCTCCTGTGCACCTCAGGAGCAAAATTTACATACAGCTTCTCTTTATCTCAACTATCCAGAATCATTTTCTTACCCCAAGAAGTTGTATTTGAGGAACCAGAATCTGCACAATTGAGCTCTTAAGCAGAAAAGATGCATGAACAGAATTGTGCTTCCCCCGAGGTCTATGCATTATGGGGAAATGCACGTGGTCTGAATCTATCATCGCCCTGAGGACCATTTCCTGCCAACAATCCTCCTCTGCAGCCCTGACATCCATTTGTTACTTAGAGGGCAGTTCTGGGTTTTATAGATGAGGTGATGTGTGCAAGGAGGTTTTTACACTCTCTTTTCCCCAAAGGTCATACACAACCACTTTCTCCAGCCCCACACCACTCCCTGTCTCACTTTATATTTGACTCTTTTCCCTGGTCCAAAGAAAATGCATTAAATGAAGCTTTTTAAGCCTTCCCAGAGGTCATGGAGTGCTGGCCCTTTCACACAGAGAGGCTACAAGGAAAGTGTGTTTTTAAAGTTGCTTATTGTGCATCACAAAGAAATGGAGCACATTTAAGAGACTGGGAATTGGGAGGTAGGCAAACAGGAAGATTTTATCATCCCACAGTAAGGTTGACTATTTCCATTCCATGCTGAGGTCAACTATTTAGACAATAATTATTGGGAGTTCACTATTTGGGAGGCTATGAGAGAGATGACTTTCTATAAAAACTTGGTATGTTAAGAGGTGGGAATAATAGTACAGCAGGTAGTGTGCTTGCCTTGCAAGTGACTGACCAGAGTTTGTTCCCCGGTATCCCATATGACCCCCTGAGCTTCACCAGGAATCATTTCTCAATGCAGTTATGAGTAAGCCCTGAGAACCTCTGGGTGTGACACACACACCCCACACACACAAGCAAACAAACAAAAAAACCCAAAAAACCCAAACCAAAAAATCCCCTGGTATCTATGAAATATCCTGTTGGGAACCCCTTTTGGATACATAGCAGAAGCAGGGCGAGGTTTCTCTAAGACAGGAAAGGTAGATTAACAGGATAGTGATTCTTAGGCTGAGCAAACAGCCTCTAGAGCTTCTGAACCTAGTGAGGTGGCCTCCATGTAAGAACCTAAGCCAACTATTAAGAAATATTAATTTTTCTAAGATGCATAATATGAAACTTACTGCTCTGAAAATGAATCAAAGACCCATTTGCTGGCCACCATGAGAACTGTTTGAGGGAAGTCAAGGCATGAAGTCCACCCCTATAGTTACCACACCTGCCCTTCATAGGTTTCAGTGTCTAGTTTCTGATTTCCAAGTCACTTTCTGGCCTCCCACAGAACCTTGTGATACTGTGTTTTCCCCTGCTAAGTGAAGAAAGAAAAAGCACGGTGGGCTGGCATGTCAGAAAGTTCAGTTCTGTTCTCTGGGTGACTGAAGTGACTTCATCCCTACAGTGAGGAAGATGAATTCTGAAAGGACTTTCTAATTCTATGAGTCTCCTTAATTGAATAAGGTATTATCTCATTATATTTCATAAATCTTTTCATCATGTATCTGCGAAATATGTTTTAGCATTTTAATCTTGGTCCTTCAGAAAGATAAAATCATCTTTCCAAAAGTCAAGTGTTCCTTGTTTCAGAATATTTACAGTAATAGATCAAGATTTTAGATCAGTGAAAGAAAAATATTCTGTTAGACAACTGACAGACATGAATAACAGTCAGATGCTTTGATATCATCTAACAAGTGTCTTAAACATTCCAAATTTCATCCGGAGAGATAATACAGGGAGCAGGGTGCTTGTCTTGCAAGCAGCTGGCCCAGATTTGGTCCCTGGTACCCCAAATGGCTGCCCCAGAACTCTGAGGAATAATCCCTGAACAGAGAGCCAAAAATAATCCCTGAGCACAACCAGGTATATCTCCTAAGTCAAAAATAAAGTAAAATTCAAGCTCTGTAAGTTCTCAAGTTCTCTTAGTAAACTAAGCAATGAAAGCAACATCCAATGAACTGGGCCATTAATAATACGTAAATAATTCTAGGTATCCAAACAATCAGAATAATATGTATTCTTGTTTACAGAAACTTCTTGGGCATTTGAAGACTAATTAACAGCCAATCTTTC